TATGACGAAAAAAATAATTCACAAAACAATTCACACTACGTGAACTATGGAGGATAGGAAAACGTAGGTCACAATTATAAACCTAATCCTTTAGAAAGAAAATATTTACGTACTTTACTGTTACAGTTATTTTATGCATATTAGATGGCCTTGTTAGCGACAGCTGCAGAAGAAGAATTCTTTTGCCATTTTTATAACTCTCTGGGATATTTCTAAAATTTATATTGGCTTATATTGGCGTTCCATACATTATGGTCGATGAACGACTCCTTTAGGTTACTTAGCTGCAGCGCTGTTCCGCCGTTACATAAGCAGACAAAAGTAAACCTACCTTCAATAAGCAGTCCAGCATCAGATTTAACAGTTGTTGTACTCGTCCCATGTTCCCCCAGATCTTCGTCTGAATCGACGGATACATCTAGAGGGAAAATGAGATAGAAGATACGAAAAGGCAGCTCGAAACAATTCATGCGCCACGCGCCCTCAGCACCTCGCGTTCTTCCACTGTCATCGTTATCAGGTTCTCGATTACTTGGACGACCTTCCGTCGTTTGAAGTCGTCACCGCTCTGTCTGCAAAACTTCGGCAAATTCTGCAGCCATGGGGTGACATATTCGAGGCAAAGATGTTTCATTTCGATACCTGACTGACGAAAGCCCTTAAATTAAAAAAAACATGTTTAAGATTAACAAACAATAACAAATCTGACTTGTATAAATTCTTCTATGAACTCGAATGTGAGATGTGGTTCGCTTGCAGCAATCTTTTCCGAAATCAGCTTGATGAACAGCGTGTTGTTAACGGGGATCAACAAGCCTAGAAAACAATCATCATCGGTAATAAATCAGTACAAGTGCACTGAACTTCTAAGCCCACCAATACTTTCAATATATTTCATGCCTGCTCAGGACCGCTGTACTAAAATTATATATTTGCGTTCATATGCTGACTGACAACATTTGCTTTATAAACGGACTGCATTTGAGAGGTGGAACGGTGTGAAAAGGAATACCATAATTACATGCCTTAAAAATTGACTAATACATAAGTTGTTATCAACAGTCCAAAGACAACATCAGAAAAATAATTCGACATCTAAGGCAAAGTTACATTTATTACCATGAGTGTCAGAATAACACAGATACAAGTAACTTCGCTGGGTTTACACGGCACACTGGTATAGCCCTTTACCTTTAAAGTTATAGGTAATGAATTCAGCTTTTCGTCAGGCAATAAATTTTAAATAGCAGTATATGTTTCATAAGATGTAAATATGGCATCAACTTTAGACTCTAGAACTATTATAAAAGTGGCTTCAATCATTCGAAACTGACCACGAAAAGAAGAGTGATAAATTTAAGATCATTAATCTTGATCCAGCTGAGGTTATAATTTGCAAGAATTTTCCGAAAGAAGAACGATATCGCAGAAACTGTCTTTTAATGTCCCCAATAAGTATTACGCAAAACGAAATGGAATGGAAACTCTTAACTGATCTTCAGTTTGTCAGAGAACGACGAAAGAAGCCGATATCATGCTAAACGGCATGCAAGTTTGACTTTGGGTAAACAGAAGAAAAACAAAAATGGTTCGAAATAAATTCGCAAAACCAGCTACAGTAATCATCAATAATTCGCAAATAAAAAGAATAATTGAGAATGCTTTATGGCGTCGGTAATAGCCTAAAAAAACTTGATTCGGTCAAGTATATTCTAGGAGACGTCGTGCAGCGTGAAAAAATCAACGTTCCTGAAAACAAGAAACTGCCAACCGTTAGAAAAGAATATTTTCATTTAACCACTATATCGATGCTAATCACATATAGTGGCGGAATCTGAGTTATAACCGAAAACAGATGAAGAATCGCAAAGAAGAAAGTCACAGGGTTAGAGAGAAGGACGCTTAACGTTTCGATCAAGGACAGGTCGATTATCGAAAAAGAAGATGGACATGAATTAAAAGAAGAGTGAGTGGGAAAAGGGGAAAAGACGCCAGGTAGGTCATATTACAGAACAGACAAATGGCATTCAGAATGGAAGATAGACTAGGTGGCGACCAACTGCACAAGGCAAAGACATACGGGAATATCGCGATCAGGCGTGTATGATTCCAAATCATGGTATCAAAGATAGACCTGTCAAAAAATCAGTAATTAAAGTAGAATAACTTATGCAACCATGGTGAAACGTTATAATAGACTAATAACTTGCTTCCTTGTGTCTAGAACTATCGCCATGGCAATTCATTAATTATACTTCTAATTGATCAAAAACATTCAGATACTTCTAAATGTAGAAATGTTACACTAATCATCCTTAAATTAAAATAAATTCTTTATGGTGTCCAAAAATTTTGACCCATGCTGTAGTCAACATATAAAATCGAAGTTTTTAAAAATACTGAATTGTTTAACTTGTTAAATCTTACGGCAACCCAATACCTTCAGTTTCCAATAGCTCTTTTTCGATCTGAAAGTTGAACATCGCTGAGAGAGCGCAAAGCAGGTTGTACGCCGCTGTACGAAGACTGGGATCTGTGCTGCCAAGATTCAGTAATGCCTAGAAATTTTAATTAATCACTAACTTTCGATGTTACCTACATTACATTTGCTCAAGAATGTTAAATAAATATAAATAGCACATGGGAAGTTGGCTAATGGAAGAAAGAACCCGTTGTTAAATAAGAGTGTCATGGGATAGCAAAAACGTTGACATATTGCAGAAGGCTTTCCGCGAGTTGGCATACACCGCAGACTCCCTCAATGTCTACCAAGCGCTCTAACGCGCAAAACTTCTCTACCAGAAGGAAAGGGTGAAGGCGCTACTTAAAAAAACGTTGACAGGGGATGCGAAATCGTGTAGGAGGCTGATGGGTCAAATGGTCTGGTATGCCTTCGACTGTTGATGGATCGATTGGTTATAACATGCCATATCAACGAATGTTTATGCAGTGAAACCATCCAGACTCCCCATGGGCTTATCCGTTGATCGAATCACAGTTTTCGTCATCGCAAAGTACAGCAACACGTTAATACGCAAAAACTAAATTTACTACGATACAACAGCCACTATACATAGGCGAAATTAAAACAGATTTTGTTCGGTGCCGCAGCGACCCGTCTTGCGGTCGTACTGTTCATTTTTGGCCATAAACAGAGCGCCGCGGTACCTTTTACGATTTGCGTGATCTAATAACATTCTACAGTAAGCTGGCCTCCCGTACCTCAGGTGACACACTGTCTGCAAAACTTGCAGTGCTAGAATGGCGCAGCGTCATACATTTAAACCACCACATTGCCAACTTACAAACCGGTGTGGGGCCAGCATTACATTTGCTGCAATATATCACAAATCTTGCATATAGGAATTCGTAAAACGATGACGTTGATCGGTCCTCATTTATCTATTGACTTTTAGTTTCTGAAATGAACAATCATAGCGAACGGGTAGCCATTTTTCTGCGATCAGCGACCTCTCCAAAAAACCGGCCTGAGATCTTTAGAACATCATCAATAAGTCGTTGCTCGTGCTCATGTACCGTGATGCATTTCATATACCTGAGCTGTACCCCAACACGTTAAAATAGTATCGAAAATTTTCATCTATCTCGACAGCAAACAGTGGTCTAACTGCTAGTATAGACCCAATTTAGAGACCCACAGGGAAAAGCGCTTACCATATTAAGAAGAGTTCCGGGCACATCGCGTGCTCGCATTTTCGTGTGAGTCAAATTAGACGGCTGACCGATTTCGAATCGCGATTTTATATGTACAATAGCTGAAACAATCTGTTCGTACTCATTGTAGACAATGGACAGCGGGCTGGACTCGTTCAAGATCATCAACATAATAGTGTTGTCGTCGACAAGCAGTACCTTGAATATGAATGCATTCAGAATGCTAGCATTCACCACTAGAGTTAAATTCGCGCATACCTCCTCGATTTCATGGGCATAGTATACGTCAGTCAAAATGACCGGATGACCAAGCATTTTTTGATGCTCACTCGTCGTCACCTGTACAGCAGCAGGACCGACCTAAAACAACATAATGGTGAAATTCAAATTAACTGTGTATGAAGACGCAGAGTCAGAAAACTAAACATAAACCAGTTACATCAGAGCACTATACTGAATATAGAGGAAGGAATAATTACCTGATTGGAAGTATCTTTTGTCTAAACAAATTTATCTCCAAAGACTACGTAAACGTAACTTTTCCCCCAATACTGTTGCACTACCAGTTTATCCAGAGGTTGCTGATGACCTTATTGGAAAATGCCTGCATAATAAAATCATCATGAGTTACAATCATATCATATCTCAAACTCTAGCCTATCAAGCTCTGCTAATGCATTAAGTATTAACACTGTATGAATTGATTTTTAAGGGCAACACTCAAAAATACACAAAAGCAATGCCAGAAAATAAGCAAAAAGAAGTTTACTTTGACGGTACACTGAATCTCCTTGTGACAAATACGAAAAGCATGTGGAAAGATCTTCAGGTCTTCTTCCAACGCGATGGTTGAAGCGGGCAAACGCTGCTGGTCAGGCTCAATGTACTCTGACAGCTGTTGTAAACTCTCGAGGAATACCAATTTCGAGCTAGACTGGAAAAACATAAAAGTAAATCGCTTGAATAAAACTGGTGCTGACGTATATAACAACCTACAGAGTAACGATATTAGTTATTACCTGCAAAGAGCTTTCTTACTTCAAACAATAGCATGTAGTAAAGTAACGATTTTTTTGGCAAAATAACTATATACAATTGACATGAGTACTTACACCACGAAGTACTTCTTCAAGATGTTTGAAACAGTTCTTCGATAAAGATCTTCTAATTATCTCACAATGCTTGGTGAAGAAGTTGAAATATTCTGTTATAAAACCACTTTCGCTAAGTTAAAGAAAATCAGAACAGATACAGATCAAGTACAGAACACAAGGAAAAGAGTTGGCCGTGCATATCAGCGCTCTTCGATTTGTGAAGTGTTTACCTTATAACCTAGCCTAGACATACGAAGCTATATTTGTGCGGTTTACTTTCGTTTATTTCTGCCTAATTGTAATAATAC